AGTGAATATGGTTTTACGCCGCATTTAACATTATTTTAGCAATATCACAGTGGGTGACCCAGAAACTGGTTTGGCACATTACCACTAGACTACCTAAACATCCAGACTGGTCAAGAAGAGCTAATATCTAACAATAATATCCATAGATATTTGATCTAATCAGCCATTATCATGTTTAGCATTAGTTCAACCCCGAGACAGTGAGTGAGTGAGTATGGTTTTACGCCGCTTTTAGAAATACTCCATCAATATCAAGGTGGGGACACCAGAAATGGGCTTCACACATTGTACCCATATGAGGAATTGAACCCGGGACTTTGGCGCTGTATCCACTAGGCTACCCCACTTCTTCTCTTGAGAGATGTGTGGGGCGGTGGGGTAGCCTAGTGGTTAAGGCGTTCGCTCGTCACGCCGAAAACCTGGGTTCGATTCCACATATGGATACAATGCGTGAAGCTCATTTCTGGTGTCCCTCGTCGTGGTATTGCTGGAATATTGCTAAAAGCGGCGTAAAACTAAACTCATTCACTCACCTAAGAGATGTATGGGATGTACACATGACCCTAATACTGGTGGACCATCACGCCTGGCTCCAGGCGGAATTGTGTTAGCATCAGTTATTTATGTGATCGATGCCAGAGATCACGTCTAATCATTATGATAGCCCCGTTAACATTGCCTGATGTGGCTGTTAGCGAACATGATCTATCTGATATATGTGACTACCACATTATCACACCAGATTTGTAATTTGACCTCTAATTTGTTTACCAAGTACACCGATATAACTGACCATAGAACGGACTTTCGGGTATTTTGAATTATGAATATGATACTTCTTTTCCTACTAATAAGTATGGAGGAAACATTGAACGCGTTTTAAAGATGATAAAACCGGTTAGAACACAGTCACAAGGCAGAGATACAACATGGGCTAATGAGACACACATTCTCATATTACTTGTTATCTACTAATCGCCCACACAATACGCCTGATTTTAAATGTTAAAATGTCCAACTGAAACTACTATATCCCCGTTCTACCCGAGTAATGAAGGGTATAGAACCGTAACCACCCTGTTGTTATGTTTAACCTAGGTACAAGAAGACGACAATACCGAATGTATATAGTTTACTGTGAATATTTTATAACTTTAGCCTATTCATGTCACATATATCCATAGCATGCTCATTGTTCCAGAAAAGGTTAAGTTCAAAACTAACGCACCATCATGTATTAACTGACTGACTGACTGAGTATGGTTTTACGCCGTTTTTAGCAATATTCCAGCAATATCACCGGCGGGGACACCAGAAATGGACTTCACAAATTGTACCCATGTGGGGAATCGAACCCGGGCCTTCGGCGTCATGTATTAACGATTTTCACTGTGACATTGACGTTCTTGAGGTATACAATGAAAATGACCTAGACCTCAAAACTGTGTATGTCTAAAACACATGATATATACATTTGATGTGATATCCTTTAATGTCTAGGGACCCGTGAAGATCCGGGTTAGAATTGACCTTCAGTAACCCACGCTTGTCCGAAGAGGCGACTAACGGGATCCGGTGGTCAGGCTCGCTAACTTGGTTGACACATGTCATCGTATTCCAGTTGCGCAGATCGATGCTCATGCTGTTGATCACTGGATTGCTTGGTCCAGGCTCTATTATTTACAGACCATCGCCATAATGCTGAGTATGGCGTAAAACTAAACTAACTCACTCACTAATGTCTAGAATAAAACATTAAGAATGTCCTTTTTCGAAACGCATATATTTACGGTTACCTCGACCTTATATAAGCACTTCCTTGGAATGACCTCGAACACGTATACATCCATAAAAAGAGGCATAAACTTGCTTAGAAGTGTAATAATCTTGTTGCAACCTTAAACTTTATTTCCCCACACGGAACCACCAAAGAAAGATAGCATAAGTAATAAAAACGCACCCTCAAAAGCCGCTTCTAAACGATTGGAGTATAGCTGGCGTTAATTGTTGGACGAACTATTGTTCAGTGTAATACTAGCATTTATAGGGGGGGGGGGTCCCTTTTGATCTGCTATCCTTATGAACAATTGACTGACTGACTGAGTTTAGTTTTACGCCGCTTTTAGCAATATTCCAGCAATATCACGGCGGGGGACACCAGAAATGGGCTTAACACATTGCGCCCATGTGGGGAATCGAACCCGGGCCTTCGGCGTGACGAGCCAACGCTTTAACCATTAGGCTACCCCACCGCCCCTATGAACAATTGAACATTGGTCTAATATACATTGGTGTGACTATATCTGACTGATATCTTGGTGCTGGCGTGTAATATACTACTCACACTTTGCTAAGGATCACAAAATTCACAACTTTACTTAAACGTAGATTCATAATTTGAAATTGTGTCCATTTAAAACTGGATAAATAATAAATGGTAACCCCTCTTTAGGCAAACAGTCACTTTAATCTAACCTTATGCACTTGATACATGAGTAACCATGAAAATGGTTTTCATGGCATCAATCAAGCATTTTGCAAATCATGGAACGAGTCATTGACAAGTACACAACACCTGTCAATAGCAGGTATGGAATCCACAAGATGAAATGACACACTGAAACCTAGGATCCATGATTACAATAAGCTTAGATATTTAAATCCAATTTAACCCCACATCATAGTTTTCTGTTGAATCCACGATTTGATCCTTAGCAAAGTGTCAATAGTATATATATACTATTATAGGTGAATCGTACAAGTGCATGTTGCCTTTCCAGTTACCTCTGCATGTGTACATATAAAAGTGAAAGAAATGATAAAAGTATATATTTCCACACCGAAAATCTAGGTTTTTATCTGTAAGTGGCTGGTAACACCGCTCGGGGCACGACGCGTTCAGTAGTGCATTACCATTTCTTCACGGAAACGGATTTCCATTCATAGAACTTTCCCCGCCATGTTGCCATTTCGCCCGGTGGAATATGTGTTGTCGGATAATCGAAACTAGTATTGTTGTCTCGTGTTGACGTTTCATATTCATGTAAAAAGAACCCATCTGAAAAGGTCTTAATGTGTATCTGTAAATGTGTATACCGTTAATGCATCACACCGAGTCTCTGTCAATGCAAACAGCTGCCCTGAAGGTGAAATCGAGCGATTAGGAGTGACAAATGCAGCGACAAACCGGATAGGCCATGGCAGCTTGTAAAGAAACTAAAACAGCGCCCAACGCCTTGTGGATATGAAATACAACTCACCAGAGTGAGTGAGTGGGTTTAGTTTGACGCCGCACGCAGCAATATTCCAGCTATATGGCGGCGGTCTGTAAATAATCGAGTCAGGACCAGACAATCCAATGATCAACAGCATGAGCATCGATCTACGCAACTGGAATATGATGACATGTGTCAACCAAGCCAGTGAGCCTGACCACCCGATCCCGTTAGTCGCCTCTTACGACAAGCATGGGAATATCAATTCTAACCCGGATCTTCACGGGTCAGTTTGTCTGGAGAAGACAGGATTGTTTACAAGCAGCCGTGACGTAATTGGAATGAAGGTGGTGCGGCATAAACAAACATTCACTCACTCACGCAGCATGCAAAGAACCGTCCCAGGACACTATAACATGCCCCTACGTCTTCTGGATGCGATGAATGAGTGAGTGAGTTTAGCTTTACGCCGGTTTTAGCAATATCCCAGCAACATTACGGCGGGAGACACCAGAAATGGGCTTCACAAATTGTGCCCATGTGGGGACTCGAACCCGGGTCTACGGCGTAACGAGCGGACGCTTTAACCACTAGGCTACCGCCCCGTGGATACGATGAAATGCAACCACAAGTTTGATTTTTCACACGCAGCCGAGACATAACCAGAATGAAGGTTGCGCGGTATAAACCAGCATTCACTCACAATCAGTAAGTCCATAGCCATTCGATACCCACTAAAGAAATGTAAAGAGAAACAGATGGATCATCTGAAATCCGAAAATTTGCAGATGAGAGCGCTGGTCAGATGACAAGAAACGACTCAACAACTGACAGAACTTTATTGTTGTGTTAATACAAAGGGCCAGAGCGGTACCGTTAGTGGCTGGGGTGGGGTGGGGTGAGGCGGGGTGGGGACTGGTGGGGAGGCTCATGCTCACAAAATAACCTGTAGAACATTATCAAAGTTATCTTCGTTTGTGAATAAACTACCAATGTGAAATACCAAAAATAGTGTTAGATTATTTGTTAAACAAACAACTTGTAAACTTCGAAATCAAGCTTTTCATATATCAACACATCACAGAAGTCGACGTGTGTGCTATCATATCCATCAAATAGAACCACAACAGGTGCTACGAGTTCCCTCCCCTTGCTGTACTCCCCACCCGGACAATAACTGGGCGGGGTCTGTATTCTATCGACTCCTTATAAAGGATGACAGGGTTATAAATGACACACAATAATCATAGTTCTTTCATAAAAATTAGTAGAAGCCATTCTTCAGAACACACTAACGGTTATTTAATCACAACTACCCAGTACACAGGGGAGAGAACTCAAATAATCTACATGCACTTGGAACTCATCGGGAGATATCGGTCTCCGTGTGGTAAACAGGACAATAAACGTTATCAGCCGAGGTGATCCGAATGCGCTATGTGGTATCTCCGAGATGGCACATTCGGTATATTGTAAGGATTTGCGTGATCTGTGTTCACGAGTATATAATGAAAGTCTGAGTATCACCGATTCGAGATTGGGCTCGATGTCATGGAATGCAAACAGCTCGTGCTAAAGCACGTGTTTTATTGGCAAGTGTCTATAAGTCACGTGATCACAAGGTACAAATTGAATGTACAGTGTCTTTACCCTGTGACATATATTGTCGTACCCGCACGAGAACACTAACACAGGTTTAGTTTTTTTTGACATTTGTGGAGTCTCGTTCTTTCACGTGAGAGGACGTCGGACAAAAAACATGGCGGTTCACGTGTTGTGTGGCGCGTGGTTCACGTGAACTTCCAGCAGCGCGAGATGAAGCTTTTGAGGCCTCAGCTGTCATACCCTGGAGTTACTTGTACTTACTTCGACAAACTCACTGGTACTAAAATCTGATGTCCGATGCCTGTCACGTGAGTCCTCATGTCATTCCGACACCTGTGTATTCCCCGTTATAACGCTTTCTTCATATTCGCTTATACCGCGGCAGACCTTGCACATGAATATTCTCCTGAAGGCGAACTTGAAGTTCCTGTTGAATTTATAGTAAAGAAACGGGTTCATCATTGAGTTGAGGTATCCTAGCCACAACGCCACAGCCCAGGGGGTGTAGGGGATTTTGTAACCTATGATAGGGTCAAAGATGTTAAAGATGAAAAATGGGAACCAGCAGACGCTAAAACATCCCATAATGATACTCAGCGTCTTGGCTGCTTTTGTCTCCTGTTTGAATTTCCCCTTCCCTTTGTGATGTTTATGATGAGAGGTATCGAGGCTCCGGATCTGCATTGCCTGCCGTCGCGCCGCCAGGTAGATCTTCCAGTTACACACGCCCATGAACACAACGGGAATGTAAAATGCTATAGCCGAGCAGATTAGAGCGAAGGGTATGTTCACAAAGAAGGGACAGGCGTTTAGCTCTGGTGGGGCAGCACAGCTTAAGAACTCCTCGATTCCGATCTGATTCCATTTGTTCATGATGGGAACAAATGAGATGAAGATAGGGACCACCCAGCATATGAACAGCATGATGGCCACGACCCGCCAGGTCATGCGTTCGTGAAGAAATGGCCGACAGATTGCAAGGTAACGGTCAATAGCCATGCATGAGAGGTGGAATATAGAGACAGTGCATAACATCACGTCCATGCTGGTCACAACAGTACAGAACGTATTCCCTAACATCCATTCCTTGTTGGAAAGCTGTTGGTATATCCCAAACGGCATCACGCACAAAGCGACACTCATGTCTGCCACAGCCAGAGACACGACAAATGCGTTAGTAATGTTCCGGAGGCGACGGTGGGTGACAACAGCGACGATGGTGATGGCGTTACCGGCTATCGTCATCACGGGGATGAACACCAATATGGTAGCGATGGTGTAGCGTCCAACAGCGTCGAACGTCGGTGGCGGACCGGCTTTGTCCGCCATAATCTCATCACAGCTTATATTTGACATTTTGTCCGTATCGTTGTCTTTATTTATGAGCGACACATTTGCTGTATATTTCAAAAAAAAAATTCACAGGTTTCAACAGCGAAGTCACAGCTTTATCCCAACTTTAAGCAGAGGTCCTCGCGGCAGGTATTGACATCATTATTGCGCTATTCTGCTTCCAACATAACAAGGCACTTCCCTAACCAGGATATCACTCCTACGTTCACCAAGTCTCGCACGTGTATGCGATGTAAGAACAAGCAACTTACAAGATCCTCTTGCCTTTCGATCCAGCAAGTTAATCGTGTTAGCTTAGGCCAACAACCCCCTTCAGGTCTGTCTCCAGTAATGCGACAGATACAGTCTAAATACGACCTGTCTATACTATAAATATACGCTGGAGCTTACGTTGACTGTAACAACACAACAGCCGACCCATCCACACTGAACGACAGCTCCCGGTAAGGCTTTATCTCCACCGCAGATTTCAATACACAGCTTTCACTACACCGCACAATCCGGAAATGAAACTTTTTAATATTTGACCAACATCCGTCAAGGTCCCGGACGGTCGTGTCAAGGACCCACACTGCCAATAAATCTCGTGGCTTGAAGACACTAGTATTCAGCAGAGCTCTTCGCGAAGTGGCTGCTTCCGAACAATGGTTCCGTCACATGTGGTATCCATTAAAGTCAAAACTCCAATCTGTTCTCTGGGGGCGGGTCCCCGGCGCTGTGATGTTCCCGATCTTCCATATTTGGGCAGGCAGCGGTGACGACGCGATACAACCACCTTCACTCAACAGCACATCCTGACCTGTAATCAAACGAAACGACGTCAACAAAGTATATACTTCAAATCTATTCATCGAAAAACAATATAGAATTACCAACGACTCTTTTAACTTAAGTTAATGCACAAAATTGTTGGCATTGACAGATGATTAAACCAAATTTAAAACCAAAACCTCTTTTAAATTTGAAAATAGCTTTCGAAAAACATGCAAAGGAAGTCCTTTGAAAAAGAAACAGTACATTAAGAGAGAGCCACGGTCAATACACTTGTCGAAGCCAGGGACGATGTATGAATGGTTAGTCGACCGGTCAGACAACCTCCACCTGTCTTGAAGATCAATAACACCCAGAACGGTCTGTCAAGTATCAGACGCGTCAAGCCTGGGACGGTGACGTCGTGTTTACAACGCCTTCCACGACTCAACCACAAGATGTGGAGTTATGTAACAGAGATTTATCTATGTCGGAGCAACACAAACACGGAGATTGATTTCGTAGTAGCCCGTTAATCCGCCATGAAGGATCCCCTCCATCACGGACGCTAGCCAAAGCTGTCAATAAGATTGAACGAGAGTTTATTCATTATTACTAGATGGCTAAAGTCCCTGCGTGGGAACGTTTCATTCTGTAAGAAACTAAGCACCAGGGGCTTACCTTCAGAATCGCGAGGTAACTACGTAAATAGCCTGCAGTATCAGGTGGTCCTATAAAGAGACTTGCATTTCCTCTTATTGATAACATTGATACTTTCATTTAATCTAAAAATATCCACACGGAAAGGTTAATGAATCTACCTGCGTAGATGACCGTCTTCATACGGTTTTTACATGGCTCATACAATGTCGAAATCCACGTTTTACGTAATAGCCTGCTAAAAATAACTACCCAAAACACAAATAGCGCAGTCATGCATTAAAAGCAGCACTCACATAAATAAAAACATAACCCGACCCTTTGAACAGTCGCTCTGCCTTCCCTTCCGTTCGAACCTTAAGAGCTTGTTGACAGCCTTCAAAGGTACCTGGATTAAACATGCTCTAAATCTGTAGTGTCTGGACATCAACATGTTAATTGGTTTCATTGATTTCTTAACCACCCGTCCCATCCACCCACCACTATGGTGTTGCCAATTCCTGCCCTCGCACGCCTACGCAACAATACAGAGATTTTGTAAAGATAAGACCGTGTCCCATGACGCCAGACACAGAATTTTGATGAGGATAGGATTTATATCTGATCTGAATGGAATCCGAAAAGCATAGGACATAGGTCCGTTTTTATGTTCCCCTTTTATCAGAAGTAGTATTGTAATTTTAAACAGGCACTAGTTCATGTAGGTGGAGTAACGATGGTAGAGTCTGGGCAACTGGTTTCTTTGTTTGTTTGTTGATAGAAGATTATGTGGATGTATCGCACAACAGTGGTGCTCTGACGTCATCAAACCCACTGTTGACAAAAGGACAATAGGGCAGAGATGACGCCAGATTCATCAACATAATTTCCTACTTTTGTTACTGCTTAAGTGCCATACTTTATATCTAATTACTTAATTTAATTTAATAATCAAGCTATACGATTACCATCGGTGAAAAAAACCCATGTCTGGACCAGACAATCCGCTGATTGACAGCATGTGGATCGATCTACGTATGTTGGATAGGACGCCATGCATCAAACCAGCGCGCCCAACCATAACATCCCGTTAGACGTCTACTACAACAGGCATGGGTCATAACTCAGGTGTTCACAGTTGACCCATGTACTCATTACGTAATCTCAGTGCACTAGCAACATGTATACAGAATTACAAAATATAATTTCAGTTAGAGATTTATCAAATGAAAGGTGGTCACGTTAACATGTCGAACACAAGTAGTTGGAATTTAGCGATAGGCTGGCATAATGGAGTTGACTTAACGAGATAAACTAAATAATTTAATAAATTAGTAATATTGAAGTTCAAATAATAGCATTTTCAACTATCAGAGTTCGAATAACTGCACATTGAAGTAATATAGTTCAAATTAACGACACATCGAAGTGAATGTGAATATTGTGTTGTGCCGCTTTTAGCAATATTGCAGCAATATCACTGCGGGGGGTACCAGAAATGGGCTTCACATATCGTATCCATGAGAGGAATCGAATCCGCGTCTTCGGTGTGACGAGCCAACGTTTTAACCACTAGGCTACCCTACAGCCCACTCAAAATGAATGATTTCCAATTAAGGACATATTGAAATATAGGAGATCGGCATATCAAACTAAGAGGTTCGAATAAAGGATATATCACACTGAAGGAATTAAAGCATATTAGTACATATCTTGGAACCAAAGTTCAAGCATCCCCGAAACTTCAGGATATTATATTTTTCCTACAGCTATACATTTGTAACAAACATGTACAGTGACAATGTCAATACATCCCAATAATCTAGTGTGGGCCAAGATGAAATTGATCATATTGATCACAATAATATACTCATGCCAATAATGGTTGTCACCCCCCTCCCCACCCCAACCCCACACACACCTCACACCCACATCCCCTCTCCAATTATAAAAATTGAAGGGGGTGACAACAATTATTGGCATGAGTATATGTACCGTCAGTCTGGTAAGTCTGCTCAATAGACATGCGAGGATACTTGCCTATTTCAAATTAGGCCTTGACCTCCATACGTATGCTACGTATCAATAACTGACATCATGCAAACAAGGCCGTATGCAAATATTTTAAAGTCAGTCGCCAGGTGAATCACCTCTCGGATCAGGTCGGAGAAGGTATCGACCTAATATTTCTAGTATTGGAGACGTGACGCATATTATACGTAACAGTATGTCACCGTATCCCAATTGCGTAGATCGATGCTCATGCTTTTGATCACTGGATTGTCTGGTTCAGACTCGATTATTTACAGACCGCCGCCATATAGCTGGAATATTGCTAAGTGCGGAGTGAAACTAAACTCACTCACTCACTTATACGTAACAGTAACCCTTCCAATGAAAGTGAGTTCAACCCCTATCATAGTTCACCCTCTCAGTGTATCATGATCACACCCGACGCACAGCGGTACGTGTTCCACTGTATGTGTGACAGTTTCCTACTGTAGCGGAAAGTGTTCAAGGGAGTTTTGTTCATGCTGCTTTGAACACCTTATCATATCATGATATCCTGCTCCTGTTCAAAACTGCCTCTGTTCACCCAGCAGAAAATGGGTACCCGGTGGGATACGTAATTTGAGTACAACCTTCTACCTACTAACAGGCAGCTTGGGTCATCGGGGTAATAATGTGCTATGCTATTCATTTTTAGCGTTATGAGCATGCCTGGTATGGAGTTTGGACACATTAATATTATTATTATCATCGTGGTGAGCTTAATTTGGGACGGGAGCCCAAAGTGCCGCGGGTTGGTACCGACAATTGTTCACACACAACCGAACTAATCAACAGGCAGACACAAGGATTTAGACACCAGAAACTCCCACGGCCTTTTTAACGCTACATCCATAAAGCCCATTCTCTCTCCATCCCCGATAAAAACAGAAATCAGAGTGAGTGAGTTTAGTTTCACGCCGCTTTTTGCAGTATTCCACCAATATCACCCAAGGGGACATCAGAAATGGGACCCCAGGTCTTCAGAGTGACTAGCGACCACTAGGCTGATCCACCACCCCTCGAAATCAGACGAAAAGTGGCAGCTGTTACAGTCGAATCGCAATAAAACACATTCCTGACATACAATATTTTTAAACTTGTATATATCAGTTGGCAACGACAGCCTTAGACACCTGTCACAACTACATGCAATATGATAGGGTCGTTGACAATCATTTACATATTGTGTTCCGTGCTATATATTTGTAGTAACTTGGGCATGCAGGTTGAAATTTGCAGTGGTTCGCAGTTATCTATATGAGGTGTCCTGTTGTAGATCGACTGGAATGTGACAGAATTCATGGAATTCGATCATAACAGGGAAAAAGAATGACAAAAGAGATTTAGCATGAATCATTTATGATTAACCCAGATATCTGTCATGTTATCTATCATGATATTAATAGACCTATATGCTAATGGCCGCATCATCAATCGATCAGTTTTGCTTTGATTGAAATGAAGCAAATATTCGTTCACTGTTATAAACGAAACATTGATTTGGGTAATACAATCAAGAGCACTGTGTATAGAATAATATAGAATAATAAATATGAAAAAATAGAATATATGTATGATGATGAAGATGATTTTATGATCATCACTATCATCATCTTGCAGGGAAACATACATATATTTCAAGGCATGTGTTACAAAATAGTTTGAATAAAGTTCATTCCCCGATGGGAAAAATATAGGTCACCAGCTATATATGCGTGTAGTAAAAGGCGAGCTCCTACACTCGGTTAACATGTCATCGTATCCCAGAAAGACGTTCATGATGCCAATCACTGGATTATCTGGTCAAGACTTGTAGCCATTATAGTTAGAACACTTGTCGTAGTTTAGCTAAATAACAATCAGATTTGTTGTCAGTCCAGGTCACCAGTTAACACCTGTCTGCCCAGTCTAGGTAGAAAACAGACCCAAACGCTACATTTGTCTCAGTTTAGGTTCAGAATACACTGAAACATTACACAAATCGTGATTTTGGTAAAGGATTCACAAAAACCCCACATTTGTCTGAGATGGAACAGGTAATACATACAGTTTGGACCAACAAGAAGTGATCTCTCCATGGTCATAGGTATGTAAGTGCATGCAGACGTCTACCTACAGCGTGTGTTGTTACGGTTGTTGATGGTAGCGTTGAATAAGAAGCGCAAACAGATAGCTCCTTGTTTGAGAAATCGCTACAGAGATGCAGGTAAACTAAAAACACGTGCTTCATAACTTATTCATTCGGTATGTTCATACACTGACAATATCATTTATCATGTTACACAGCTGTGCAGGTGTGTATATAATATGCACATCAGGTGAGATACAGAATTAAATGTCGCATAGTTCTAGCTATAT